CTGAGTATCGGTCACCTCTGTCGTTGTTGCTGAGCTTCGGTGTGATATCAACGGTGGTGGCGGCACTGATAGTCGTGACTGGGAAGTCAGCTGTAGTCGCGGCATTGGTGGCGACATCGTCTGTTGTAGTAGCAGCAAATGTGGTGGATGAGGCCTCTCCAGTAACATCTGGAGATGTGGTTACTTCCGAGGGAGCTGCTGCGCTGGTCGTTTGTGCAACAGTGGTAGGCTCGACAGGAGCGTCGGTAGTAACATCAGCCGCATCGGTTGTAGTTACAGTTCCGGTAGTGTCGACAGCAACAGAAGTGGCCGTATTGGTTTCTTCGGGGGCGGCAGTTGTGCCGTCCTGAATTGTGGTAGTCTCAGTGACTTCATCGGTGGCTTCACTTGGAGTAGTGGTAACTGGAGCAACCTCGCAAGTGCATGGCGCATTGGATGAATGACAGGTGCTTGGTGTAGCCCAGTACTTGCAGTAGGAGCCAGGAGTATCCGAGGCACAACCAGCATCACAATTACGGGGGGCTTCAGTTGTTCCACCCGACCCGCAGGAACAAGGGACGTTGGAGCCAAAGCACCTGCTGGGGGTCTCCCAGTATTTACAATACGACCCGGGATAGGTGGCGGCACACTCGGCATCGCACTCGGTGGTGTTACCCATCACGTTTGTGATGTCCTGGAGAACACTGAGACCGACGATGACGAAGGGGAAGGAGCGGATAGTCATCTTGCACGAATGTGAATAAACTGCGGGAAGTGCGGAGCTAGTCTGGACCTGTGAGGGCCTATGCTAACGCCATAAGCCGGTGCTAACTGGACAACCTGTTTGAGCACTAACGAGTTCAATGATGTTCGTTCGCTGTAGCTGAACAACAGTGCGCCCGGTGTCTATCTGCCTAATCGTTTCACAAGATACTGCATCATATACAGTGTGGTGCGCGCTGCGTTCTCAGCCACTCTTCTTCCGAGAAGTTTGGTCGACTTCTCGCAAGCATCGTTTCGACCGATTGGACATTTCCTGGTTCGGGTCTGCGGCTCGTTCTGATTGCCAAGGCGAATGTGATGATCATGCAGAGCAATCGCTCGTCGCCGCTCACTATCAACGCTTAGGGGAATATATTTCAGATTACAACGGGTTGTGTAACCTGCAGCGATCGGGCTTCGTGTACGTCTTCTAACTCGGCGTGGCTGTAGGGCACAGTTCATGACTCCTCATCGGGTCATACTGGAACTTCCTCGTTGTCCAATCCATCTGAAACCGCTGCCAAGGCATAACCTCAAAATAATTACTCAGCTGAATAAACCTTATTGGCTGAGCGGCTGGGCATTTACACAGCACC